CCATCAGTGGACTTTAATGCAAATGAGAATATAATGTTTCTTAGGCTTGCTGATTCACCAGTGGACTCCACTCTGGGCAGAAGCTTTGTCCAGGAGTGATGGTGGCTGAACCTGCAACTCTGTGATTTCCTCAGTTGGTACCTGGCTCTGTCCTCTTGAGGTCTATTGAATTACCCAGTCCTGGGGTAGGTCTCTCAAATGCAGTTTCTTCAGAACCTAAAAGAAAGAATACAGAAAGATTGAAAATCAATGTTTAGAAAAAGTTATTAGGAAACAACTAATAAAATACCACCATAGAATATTATTGCATTCACAGAGAGGCTAAAATTTTACAAGGCTGACAGTACAAGAGATGGTGTGGATGTGGAACCGTTGGAATTTTCGTACCATAGTAGAAAGAATGGAAATCATTACATTCACTCTGGAAAACTATTTGGACGGTATCTACTAAAATTGAGCATATGCACGTGTAAAAGAGAGCATATGCAAGTGCTATGATCCAACTGTTAACACACGCCTAAGAAATGTGTACAGCTGTGCACTGAAAGTCACGTTCAAGAATGTTCATAACAACATTATTTCTAGTAGCCACATACTGGAAACAACCCAAATGTCCGCCAACAGTAGAATGGGTAAATATATTGTGGTGTATTCATACAACACAATATAGTACAGCAATGAGGATGAACAAAAACTAGATGGAAATATAGGAATAATTTTATAAACATAATACTGAGCTAAATTATCTACACTCGAAATAATACCTATTCCATGATTACACTTACAGAAAGATTAAAAGGAAGCAAAGTAATCTGTGTTAGAAGTCAGAATAGTGGTTACCTTTGGGAAAGAGAAAGATTGTTCTCTGAACCTAGGTGCTGGTTTTACGGCCATCAGAATAGTTAATGGATAATTCATGAAGTTATGATGACGTTCACAAATTTCTGTATGTTTATTTAAAAAATAGAGTTTAGGGTGAAAAGCATTAAAGAAGAGTAAGGGACATATTTCACTGTATTAAAAGGAAAAGAAAGAATGATTAAAAATAAATGAACTAAACATTCAACTAAAGAAGCTAGAAAATCGAAGGAGGAAGAGGAAGAGTAAATAAATAACAAAGAATAGACAAAATTAATAGAAGATAATACATAAAAAACAGAGGGATGATGACCAAAAATGTTCTTTAAAGATATTAATAAAAGCAACAAATCTGGGCATAACCCATCATGGAAAAAAGGTAGAAATAAACAATACTAGAAATTAAATAGTGCACAAAGCTAGTAAGATAATAAGAATTTTTTAATCTCAAAAGAGGACCATAGTAATCTGACATCAAAATTTTCAAAAGAGAACAATTTTCTAGAGAGAGAATATATCCAAAACAGATGCAAGAAAAGCTAGAAAGCCTGAATACCCCAGTACAAATCTTGTTCAAAGTATGACTCCTAAAAACCCATTAGTCACATCATTTTATAGGTGAATCTAGCAAATTTTTAAGAAACTCTTATTATGCAAATTCTTTCTGAGTATAGAAAGTTGGAGAGCTACTCAGATGAATGTATTCTTATTTCTGATAACAAAATCAGAACAGGGCAACATAAAATAATGTTATAGGCTATCTTTACTTATAAGTATAGGTGAAAGCTTGCTATATAGAATATTATCAAATCAAATATGCCAATATATTAAAAGAATAATACATCATAACCAAATAGGATGTATACCAGGAATGCAGGGATGATTCAACAACAGAAAATTTAATGATATAATTCAGAATATTAATGAAGGAAATGAAAAATATCATATAGTTACCAAAAAGCATTTGATGAAATTCAACATCAATTCATTTTAAAATTCTTTACTTGTAAAATACTAAAAAAAATTCCTATAAGGTACAGAGTTTCAATGTAAAAAATAAATAGCAAATATCATTCTTAATAGTCAAAAGAAACATTCTCATTAATATTAGAAAAAAAGATGCATCAAAACTATTTCATTAACACAATCTCAAGTATCAGTCCTTTAATACTGTTTGCTAATCCACTTATGTTCTTAATTTCTAAGTTTTTCCACTCTTCAAACATTCTATTTCACCTTCCCCTCTCCTCAAACTTTGGACACATCTACCCCATCCTACTTAGAATCTTTCAAATGTCCTTAAATTCTCTATATGATCTGGCCCATTACCTTGTTACTTTGCCTCTTCCACCCATGTTCTCTCAGTTCCAACCATATTCTTGTCTGTATCTCAAAAAAGCCTGGGACTCTCCTGCCTGATGGTCTTTGCACACAGGCAACTCTTACCTTCTTCAAGTTTCACATCAAATATCACCTTCTCAGTAAGGTCTCCAATGACAGTTTTGTTTTAGATAAAAATAGAGATGATTTTCCCTCAAGAAAACATCTCCAAATGAAACATGCACTGATAATCAGAACCCATATATATCTCTTCAAAAATTCTAGTCCCACCCTAATCCCATTAGCCCTAGTCCAATCACAACTGAATCCAATCAGCTAACTCTTTCAATTGAACCACCCTTCCTTGTTCTAGTAAATAGCCTAATTTCCTTGTTATCAGCGTACCAATTCTCTTTATCCCACCCTCTGCAGATTCCTTAGTGCATGAGGATGCAACTAGGGCAGAGGTGACGAGAACTGCACTGCTCACTCAGAGGGCCCCTGCCATTAGCATTTGGGATAGCAGTAAACATTGGTTTAATATACTTATAAAAGCCACAGGCCAGTGGTTACAGAGATCAAGCTTTTCCTTGGCTCTTTTTGCCCCAGGACCCAGGCACAAAGGAAAAAGGATTTATGTTTTGTCAAAGAAGCCAAATTGTAGTCCCGAGCCCTAGCTTTCTCTTGTCTGAATGGATCTCCGGCACCAAGACTCTAGGAGACCAAGGAAGATAGCGGGGTGGCGGAGGGCGGGTAGGGGGAGGTCTATTACTTTGAGCAGTGGCAGGCAAGCTTATATTTTGTGGTCTTATTGGGGAGACTGTGGGGTGATTTGTCTTTGGTTTCTGGCAAACTTCCAGGCAATTTATCCAGAACCAGTACCTCAGAAATTTCCAATAATTTTGTAAGGTGACTCTAAGTGGAGTCAAAATCTCTAAGAAGTTTCCTCTGGTTTCATGCACCAACTTAAGGTAGCAGTAGGCATGTTTGTGCCTCCTGACTGGTGAGTCTAGGTAATTTTTCTTTTACTAGGGAGCCCGACATGAACCCTTCCATATCATCTGCCATTCCTTTGTCTTTGGGTTATATGCTGTCTTCTTAGCAATTCTTCTAGTTACAATAACTCTGTTCTAGCTGTGGAGGAAGCTGTTTGAGCTTAAAAATTGTTTATATTTTTAAAATATGGTTTCAGACTTGAAGGGTGGCAGTCCTTTCCTCCCTAGACTATTACGTCTTCTTCTTCCCAGACATATAGTTGGTGACTGTCAAAGGATCCCATGATAGCCTGTGTGAGACCCCAAGGACATCTATACACCCCAGAGAGGCTTCCTGTGCTCTCCTTACCTTCCTTACTAAGATTCCAAGGATCCAGCTTACCTTCCTCTTCTACTAAGAACTGTCACCACCTAAGCTAGACCCTGAGGATCTACAAGTGCCAGGATTACCTGTATCATATGACAGTCTCCCCATTTCACCCTAATTTTTAATCTTTAAAGTTCTTCTACAATAATTTTACTACAAATTCTTCATATGTATTTTGGAATACATAACCAAATATTTCATTCTTTCTATCTAAAAACTTGATCTAAAGAAATGAAAAAAGAAAAGTGGAACAATTTTGAAGGAGAGTTAAATATGAGAAACTTATATACCATGCTAAGGGCCATTCTCCTAAGAAATAATAAAATGCTGACTATGAACATCACACAAGCACTCATTTCTTTCTTTCTTTCTTTCTTTTTTTTTTTTTTTGTCTCAGACCTGTCAATTTAATTTTTTATTTTTTTATTTTTATTT